GTCTGTGTCTGCGCTGCGCGTCTGTACCGGTTTTAAATCTCGAGACCGGCAAAAGCTACAGGGCTGAAATTTTGGGGAGTTAATCTACGTGCACGTACGAGCTTCCATCTCCAAAATGGGCGGTCTGTCCTGCGTGTTACCCACGTAAGAGCCCGCCAAAGTTTTTTACGGGTAAGCTGCTAACTCGCGAACCAGAAAAGCTAGAGCGCTGAAATTTTATGAGAATGTTCCCCGTCCAGGTGGGTGCTAATGAGCTCAAACCCAACCCCCGGGTAAGCGTAGTACCCGAGTACGGGCCTGCCAAAATTTCTCCCGCGTAATTTCATAACTCGGGGCTCTGAGATGCTAGAAAGTTGAAACTTTAAGGGAATGTTCCCCATCCAAGTAAGTCTCAACGAGCTCAAACCCAGGCATCGGGCATGCGTCGTACCCGCGTGCAGTCCCGTGAAAATTTTTTCCAGTAAGTTGTTAACTCAGGAGCCAGGAAAACTGGAAAGCTGAAATTTTAAGGGGGTGTTTCCTGTCAGTTCTGGCAGCCAGTCTTAATTTGTTTAGCTTGAAGCGTTTGCCGAAAAAACCGATGCCGGTAGCGAAAAAAACTGCGGAAAACTATGCAAAAAACGCATCTTCACACGGGCAGCCCGTGCGTTGGCCAATTATTCATTATTACAGCTAATGACAGCTGTTTAGCGGATAGTAACCAGTGGAACGATGAGAAGAGGAAGGCTAACACTGTCTCTGTTTCTGAGTAGAAATTTCATGAGCTCTCAGTTTTCCTTCCTTTAAAAGTACCTCCCTTTTTTGACAATTATTAGAGCTCGGTGCACTTGCGACTTCGCAACTTTAGATCCAAAAAAAAATTGGCCAACGCACGGCCTGCCCGTGCTAGGATACGTCTTTTGCACAGCTCCCCACAGATTTTTGTCACTAACGGCACTGATTTTTCTGGCTGGTGTTTCTAGCTAAAGAAAATTTCAGACTGGCCGCCGGGACTGTCAGAAAACATCGCTTCCAAATTCCAGTCATCTAGCTTCTCAGGCTCCCGAGTTAGCGACTTACCCGAAAAAGATTTTGGCGGGTCCGTACGTGGGTACCATACTAACCCGGGGACTGGGTTAATACTTACTTGGGCGGGGAACGTCTCCTTAAAATTTCAGCCCAGCATCTCTGGTTCCCGATTTAGCAGCTTACAGGTAAAAAATTTTGGCGGGCCGTACTTGGGTACCACGCGGGTAAGAGCGCCCATTTTGGGGGTGGGGGCTCGTACACGCATGTGGATTGAGTTCCTCAAGTTTCAGGCCTGTAGCTTTTGTGGGTCTCGAGATGAAAAATCGGTACAGATGCGCAGCGCACACACAGACACACACACACAAACAACCTCTCGTCAATATGCGTTTTCTGCATTGCATAGCTGCAA